TGGCCCAAACAGACCCCTCTTTTCGAAACAATATCTGGGGGGTACTTTTTGTGCGCCTCCGCCTGCGGAGAATTTTCCTTGAATTGGGACACTGCATCCTGTAGTCTGTAATGACATACACTTTAACCTTGACTGTAAACCTCAACAGCCTAGAGTGCGTCGGCCACATAAAAGTTATTTTTCTTTTCTTCATTACTCAACAGGTGCTTTGCTGGAGTGCACTCTTACGTGTTACACAACGCATTGCAACACTGCAGTATACATTGCGGGAGTCGGTTCACTCTCGGTTGAGAAGCTGTGCCCCGCTTTCCCTCAATCCGCCCGTCATGTCCCCACAAACAAGCCAGTGACAGGATTCTTTATTACAGACTTGATCGAAAAAGGGGGCATGATCCCCGTCCAACGCCCAGGTCGCTCCCACGGTTCCTCCACAAGCTGGGGTGGCTACTGAGTGCTGAACTGCAAAGTTCACACTGACGTTGGGCGCCGAACTAGTCTAAGAATCCCCCGACTTTACATATTCAAGTTCTTTATGAATATTTGGATCACACGTGCTTGTTTGTTTCTAGATTGAAGTTTTATCTTGGGTTAGCCCCTCACGGCATTAACACAAAAGAAAAAATTGCCACAGAAAGCACAGTTGGCGGCTTTGCTGACCTATGTCCACACCGTTTGCAGGTACAGAAAGCCGAGTTTGGACGCTTTCTTGGTTTCAATATCATCCCATTTCTGGGTACCAGAAGCAAATCTGGTTACTTTGTCGGTTTCATGCCCACCCCATTTGCGGGTATCGAAAGCAACTTTGCTGCTTCTTCTTCTTCTCCTAAATTCCAGATAAATGGATGGAGCTGTCCGACAGCATCAGCGACCCCAACCTGCGACACGTCGTCCTCAATGATCTTCTCCCGACGCTACTCACGTCAGCATGAGCGCCATTCACGACGAAAAAATATCGCTTCCCGGATAGGAGAAAGTGGGAGTTGTGGGCATCCTCCCAGACCGGGGTGCCAGTCTTTCCAATAGAGCCGCTTGATGATTTCGCCCTGTACATTATCTTCATTCTTCCCAAATATGCAAAAAATCTGCAGCAGTCTTCGCATCAGCCGCAGTCAACTGGGTTCATAGTTTAACTGGAGTATCATCACCTACAGATAGCCTGTTGGTCAAGATGGCACTACAAGGCTACAGGAGGTTAACAGCATCAACTCCACTGAGAAAAGAGCCTGTAACATCCGAGAAAATGGCAAGCTTGTACAGAGCGTACGGGCACTCCGATGCATGGGGCTGGATGACCTACGAATACTATTCACTTGCTTTATTTGCTACGCTGGTTTCCTACTTTTTAGCAACATTAGCAATATCCGGAGGACAGGCTAATCACCTATTTAACCAAGTCAAAAACTGACCAGTACCGCCCAGGTAGTGATATCACTATTGGTAGAAGATTTAAACCATCCTGCCTGGTGATAAATGCCGAACGATACTTCCCAGCCATGGGATTCTGGGTTCAGTTCTGCATCGAAGCGCACCCTTAAGACCTGTGAAATGATATAGAATGAACAACATGCAGTTATTGTCAATGTACAGTTCGCCGATTTCGTAATACTTTCATCATAACATATTAAAGTCAACAGTAGATACACACGTAAATGGATTAGGAATTTGCCCCCTCTTTAATGCTTTTAGCTCTAAGTCTACAATATCGAGTCGCTAATTAGCTGGTAACCGCTCACCTGAGTGGTTCCCGTCCACCTATCTCCAGTCAGTAGGTCGTATTTATAGAGCAGGTAATTACTTCCCAGCCACAGGCCTCCTTTATTGTCAACATTGATGTTGTCAACTGACGTGTGCATGTTGATTTTCTGGGAAACATTGTACAAAAGATGTCGAATTTTAAAATTTTGCTTAACCTTTCTGGGCGTGTATCATTAGTGTATATAAGGAATTGCTGATATTGATTATAGACTGCCAGTACTATCATCGCTTTTCTGTTGATCGATTATTCAGTCCTTGTTTTTGATTCACGAGATAGAGAATTATTCACAAGACAATGCATTCATTGTGTATAAGTGTGACACTCAGCGTTCGTTTTGTTACTCGTTCCTCTTGCCCATTCGCAAAAGGGCCGTTACAAAAGTTGGGGAGTCAGGTTGGTGTAGAGGCTCTTCCCTTGCCTTACTCCACTGCGACCCGGGTTCGAATCCCACCTAGGTCAGCATGTGGATTGGGTTTTCAGTCCCTGCCTGACTCCATGGGTTTTCCGTGGCATATTTATTGTGGATTTTCCCCCACCTCTAAAACTGAACATTTCTTCATTGTCTTCTTAATTATAACTTTGTCCTGTAATTGGCGCTAAATGCGCTGTTGAATGAACAGATAAATAAATAAAAGTTGCAAATGTATAGATACTGTTGCACCGCATAAATGATAAACATCACTTCAATGACATGTTTGTGTTTTTCAGATTTGAACTTGGCTTTCGGAGCTCCAATGAACCGCGAGTGTCCTTCGGATTTCTCTCAAAAACTAAGAGTTCAGCATCCATTAAACCCAACACGTAGATGAACCTACAGCGAACCTACAGATGAACCTACAGAATGGGGAAAAGAAACCTTAACATTAGTTAAAGATAAGCGAGAACAGACATTTATATTCCCCGCTATATACGGACTTGGTTTTAATCATTTTCTTTGCTCATTACACCAGTTTATCTTCCATCAGGTGATCGGTTGATACTATCAGCATAGGCGAACCCACTGGCTACTTGCTCGGTCTTGGAACCGTCGTAGTAAGCCACTGTTCCCGTCGGTAGGCTTAGAGCGACCTCCAGAAGCCCAAAGCGACCCAGGCGAAGATCGTTGGTGACGTAAAACGTCTAGGCACTCATAGCTTTCACATCATTGGGTCTAGGAATGATGAATGAAATGACCTGCCAAGAAGTAGCAGTCTGTAATTTCTGTTCGGTGACTCGTGCAATTCAAGACCATCAATAAATAGGGTGAAAACAAATCGGGCTTACGCAAAAATGTTGTCGTCAATAACCGTCTTCCGATGGTGCAGCGTTTCAGAATTGTGGTCATAATCAAACACTTCAATGGACTGCGTTCTTGGGGGCAGTGGCTTATGGACCACAAACAAAGTGACTATGCCTGATAGAAAGGAAAAAACTTAAATTATTTCATGTAGTTAAAACCTTTTCCCGTCAAATCAGGGACGGAAACTTCATTGTAAAAATGAAGTCTATTGAGAACCACCAGTTAGAGCTCTTTCTTAGGGTGTACCAACAGTGAAGCAGCGCATGCAAACCCGAGAGGTAAATGTTTTTATGGTTTATACGTCCGTTTGTTTATTGGTTTATTGGATGCTTTCCACCCGTTGATTGGTGGAAGAATGTACAGAGGCTGCCAGATCAGAAATTCGGTCTTCATTTACAGAATTATCAATAAATTCTTTCTGAAAAAGAGAAGTATTTATGGATCTATCTGCTTGAATCATTAAAGCCCCCTTCAGGCCTTTTTTATGAACTCATGAAGTTACAGAAATTTTTCCCCAAACTGATTAACTCCCAGATCAGTTTAACTCACTATATTTTTAATATTGTACCTGTTCTCGTTTCACTTGAAATCCAGAGAACAAAGAACAAGTTTGTTTTCCACGATCATTCGTTTTTTGTAACAATATTAATTGTCAGATGTTTTCGAGTGCTTGCTTTTATTTCTATTTCATTCTAACTGACAAAAGTAGAAACGCTCGGTAAGTGACCAAAGTTCACCGCGTCCCTGGGAATTTCAACTTAATCCTTAATTATAGAGCTGGGCTATTTTGGCTCATCTAACACCCGGGGCGGATTCCGATCCCACCAGAACTCGGCTGCGGCTCTCTCGATTTTCGTGAAACGTCGCCTGCATATAAAGAAACTCCATATCATTAAGACTGTGACGTTTGAACTCAATCAGACGTTTGTTGTTGTTGTTGTTACGGTAATTTGAAGTTCAAGGCTACATGGGTGCCAGCCTGCGTGCATTGAGCACCACAGCGGAAAAGTTTACATTCAGGCTGACCTGTCTCGGAAAAATGCAGGCTGCTTAAGAACGGTATGTTCAATTTTCACCAAATTGATGTCAGAACGACTGCAAAATATTGCTAAGAAATCCCAGCTCCTTAAAAAAGGAAATGGTGGCAATACTGGTACAAATGGGGGGGGGGGGGGGGAAGAATTCC